TCCAGAAATTGACATTATGTTGGGAAAATACTGAATGTCCTCTTCCAATATCAGAGTACACATGATAACAAAGGTCTCCCAACTGTAGCTGTGTACATGACAGGATGTATGATTACCTAGAAGAGCATCAGGACTGTTTGAGGCATATGATAGCTATGTGATTAACATGATGATTCAGCCTCTATGGAGATAGACATATGACAAGCATGATCATTTCTGACGTGGAACTAATCTGAAGTAAACATTGAATACTGCTTTCTATTCCTCCATCTTGTGACTGTGTAACTCCCTCTCTTGGATATCAGCATGTGAAGGACACTGTTCAGGAACTAGTTGATGCTCTGTATGTGATGACTACTTCCATTCTGGAGAGGATCACAAATACATGGATCCTGAGATTGAGTGATATCTCTATCAAACGCTCTGTGGAAATTGGAGAGCAGATCAAGAAACCAAACGTCAGCTCAGGCGAGTCGAAAGCAGGCCTGGGGTTTCGGTATATGTGTGTCTGTGTGGGATATCCCCCCTCCCACAGTGGAGGTGGGTGTCGTCCTCCCACGTTCAGAAAAGCTCTGTGAAACCCCGGCGTCACCGATCTGATGCAGTGGAACCTGCTGTGTCAACGGGCGACTTGAGAAGTTTCCCTGATAGTAATAATAAGACGGAACAAACAGGAAGGAGAGACGCAAGTGTGCAAAAGTGAAAGATGCTTAGTCAAAGGGTGGGAGCGCACAGAGGCTTTTTCTGTTGCCTCATGATACTACTTTCTCATACAGTGACTTTTTGCTCTGCGTGGGATCCTTAATAACATGAAGAAGAAATGGGTTTCATCACTTCCTTTCAGTCAGTTAGATAAGATTCAGAAGAAATCTGTTTTGGATGTGTCAAATATGAAGTTGGCATAGTCATCTAATAATACAGGATTGACACTGACAGTGTGTGGGTTCATGTAATGATATTGGAGGAAATAATATGTATAAGAAGCGTTCAAATGAACTGTGGGGATCACAGTTATGTGGTTTAAATTAGATTTTTCAAAGACAATTTTCCTGCAAACATGGCCTACATTAATGCATACATACATAGTCTTCCTTTCTTTGACTAACTCACAAGAAACCCGTTTTAAATTGACCAAATTTGAAGTTGTCATAAATCTGTGGTACATCTGAATTTAAACATTGAAACTGAAAATCTGCGAGTATGTAGTTGCAATCTTAATGAAGGACACTTACATAATAAATACAGTTACAAATATATATTCTATGGGAATTGATGTCATTTTAAAACTACAGCGGTCAATTTATCTTACATTGGTGATTTTATTTATTTAAATGTAATTTAATTATCATAATTATTTGTATTTATTCATTCAATTTTATTTTAAATTGTTCTAAATAAATTGTATATGATTCACATACTGCAGTGTTTGTATGTCTGTTGTTGTTTTATTATTTGTATTAATAGTTTTTTCTCAGTACAACATGCTCCTTTGTGTAAAGACAATAGACACTCTTAAGATATTACATGTATTGTGGTGGGTTTTCAATTTGTGAGAAGACCATAGGACTGTTTTTTCTTTTGGAAAAAGTGACTCAAGCTCAAGTGGTCATTTCCCATGACACTGGTGGACTTCTTGTTAATTTCCACTGCACGCAACTGACTGGAGAACCTCCTATTTAGGATATTTAGCCAACAAACGTTGGTACAATATATTTGCTATAACTTATTCAAGCCTTTATTCCGTTCAGCATTTTGAATTACCCACTGTTCTGTTTCCTGCCCTACTTGGAAAACACATGCTTGTTAGCTTAGCTTGCTAACATTAGCCCTAATTTTTTCTAGTTAGAGATAGCTCTTGCATAACTGGCCTTGTACGTTTTATTTAAGGGAGGCTGTGGCGCAGTGGACCAGTGCATTGGTGTTCGGATCAGGGGAGCACAGGTTCAAACCCCACTGCAGTCAGCATGTCGTTGTGTCCCTGGGCAAGACACTTCATCCCAAATTGCTCCTGTGGGGGATTGCCCACAGTACTGAATGTATGTAAGTCGCTTTGGATAAAAGCGTCTAACAAGTGACATCTAATCTAATGTAATGTTATGTTATTTAAACCCTAAGTGGTTTAATCGTATCTCTCTTACTAATATATGATCAGAGAGTTGAGACTTACGGTTGGGTGTCAGGACAGGATGCTGAAGTCCACTTTCTACTGAGATTGAGGACTACATGTAGGCTCTAAAATGAGTCATGTCTGCATGTCTCCAGTTTGCAGGATAAAAGACAGACCACAGTTACTGCAGCCCATAGGGCACAGAGAGCTGGGTTCCCATTTCCTGCTCCAGTCTTAAAGTTCGGCATCGCACGGAAATGGACGTTAAGATTGACGACTTTCCACCAGAGAGCCCGGTTTACTACAGAGGTAAAATATGGTGATCAATGTGTAAGGAGGTTAAAAACATGGCTGGTGGTTTTTTAGCCTGAACTGGTTGGTCTGCAGTCTCTTTATTTTAGTTTATTGTCTTCCTTAACTGGCCTTCAAAGGTGCAACAGCTGCCAATCAAGCAGAGTTTGAACACACCCAAAGTGTTTTGAGAAGAAGTGAAACCAGGTAAATTAAGTGAAAACACCTGTGTGGATTACTGGCCTTTCTTGCCTTAAATCATTTTCTTAAACCTGTTACAGATCACACAGCAATATTATTTTTCTTTTGAAATATTTATTGGTAAACTTGTCTCAAAGTGGCAGCTTAGAAGCCACTTAATTCTAATCCTGGCTAACCCTAACCCTAGAAAAAGTCTCTTGTGATCCAGACTTGGATAAAAGCAGTCCAAAATGCTGTTAAGCTTTTACCCAAATCCTATAAAAAGTGTTGACGTAACATGGCCTTGTATAGTTGTATTTTACTAATTTGTAGTAAGTACGTATGTATTTAATTTGCACCTTAGTGCTGGCAGACAATGCATCCAAGTTTATCTACAGCTAATTTTACTGAACACACTCCAAAAAGTTGTACATGGAAAACATTTTTCTTTAAAAAGTCAGGATATATTGAAAAAACAGTGGTACAGTAGCTATTCGGCTAATTTAGACTTGCTAGGTTATGGCCATAGTTGGGTTATAATTATTTTATAATTAATTATTTTAATAGCCTACTTTTATAATTCAGTAATCACACTACAGTTACTAACATTGCCTGACACGCGTTACTTCGTTACTTTTATAAAATCAGTAATCACACTACAGTTAGCCTACTAACATAAAGAATTACTAGATTCTCCCTTTGACAGACAAGAGGGATTTCCGCCGCAGGTTTATATTTACGTAACATTTGCGCGACTTGCGCGTCCACATCATGGATGTATAATAAGAACGTCCACATGCAGTGCATAAACATGGCTGAGTCAACAGCGATAACTTTCGAGTGGAGGAGGAGGAGGTATGCCCATTATTTTGAGTGCGTCCGAAGAAAGGATAGGAATGTGACGGTGAGGTGCAAACTGTGTCCAGGCCAGAAGCTTTTATCCACTGCTGCAAACACAATGTGAAACCTCAACAAGCACCTGCAAAGACAACATGCTGTGTTACGTGAAGCTAATAGCTAAGGAGGACCTCCGAATCCAGAGTGTGCGCCGCCGCCGACACAGGGGTGCTAGTGGAGCCTCGCAGCGGCGAAACTGTGGCGTGTAGGTGCGCCGCATTTGCGCTTCAGATGAGGCTCCCTCCGCAAGATGAAGCACCCTCCGCAGTCTGCGTGATCTGCCTGTAGGGAGGGGCGGCCCTGCGAGTAAAGTAACGATTAAAGTAACGAGTAAAGTAACGCGTTACTTTATGTAGAGAGTAACGAAGTAAAGTAATATACTACTTTTTTTAAAGTAATAAGTAATATGTAATATATTACTTTTTTTGAGTAACGACCCTATCTCTGGTTATGGCTAATTAGTTGATTAGTCTGTCGCTAAATAGTTAGCATACATCTAGCATCCACGGTGGATACAGGTATTACAACTACAGAATTAGCCTTTAGCTGACTTCACAATAATCTTAAAATCTTCTAGTAAGAGTTAGGGTTGGGATTTTTAGCATTTTTCTGATTAGTTTCTATAAGCTACGTTCTCCAAATTGCTGGAGAAATGTCTGCCGAGTAAAAAAAGGGCAAAGCTTTATACAAAGAAACCTTATATTAGCTTCACCACTACATAAATAGTGATATAATCTTATACCAAAGTAATACAAAGAATAAACACACAGAGTCGTAGGGTTTAGATTAGAGCAGTGAACATTTATATCATAATTTACACTTTTTGACAGTTTTGCACATAAATAACTATGTAAACCAGTATGTAAACAGAGACAGTCCTTTAGTGGATTCTCCTCTGGAGTTAAAGCTCTGATCAGAGAAAGAGATGCTTTGGTCGAACATTAGTTAGAGAGAAAGAAAATGAGAGAAAGAGAGAGAGAGATAGCGAGCTACAGAGTTCAGGTTGTTGATGTACAACTGCTGCAGAAAATCACAGTTGCTTTTGTAACATTAAGTTGACTCTTAATGCCATTATGACCAGTTTCAGTGATATTGTAAACAGTGTAAATGGTGCAAGCATCGGCACTGAAGTTATAAAGTAGGAGGAGTAGAGGGGGGTAGGGGGGGGGGGGCCAGTGCATAAAAGAAGGCCGAGGTGCTTTGGTGTATGCCAGTTCAACACGATGGCGGACGGTGGGGTTTAAGAAGGGGCCATTGCTTCTCAACCGAAATATTAACAAAACATTTACAAAAAACCACAGCGACAGAGTGAACACTTCATCGTATACACACAGTCAATCTTCCCTTCTTCAGCATTTTGATTCCTCAAGTCCTTCTTTTCATTTTCCTTTCTTGTATTTTTTGGTGTGCATTTGAATTTTAAAGCCAAGTGTACTTTGGTAACTAGCGTCAAGCGTGAATCCCAAAATCTGAGGGAATTCACTTCCCTGTTGGGGGGGGGGGGGGGGGGGGGGGGGGGGGGGGGGGGGGGGGGGGGGGGGGGGGGGGGGGGGTTGACAGTGTTGTTAGAAAAATAAAACGAAAGGAAGGACTCGGCGACTAGCCAGCCTCCCGAGTCCTTTATGTGCTACATGTTGCCGCCTCGTTTGGACCAAGCCAAGAGCTGCAGTCCAGTTCAGTTTGGTTTCTTCTTCTTCAAGTAGCAAAAACGCAAATAAATAGAAAGCTCCCACCTTTAGCTGTCCCTTTAAAAACACACTCACAAACACACATACTCTCATATCATCACATGCACACTGAGGTAACCGTTGTGAAAAATATACAAAACAAATGCCCTTTTTTGTTTCAAATTAAATTAAGTAGGCATCAGAAAAAGGACACAGATATACTTTAGGGAAGCTATGAAGCAGGGTTGAAATAAAGCTCTTCTTGGTAAATTAACAAATTGATGTGCCGCACTTTGGCAAGTTTTTCAACCCTTTTTTTTAACCTGCAATATTGGTTTCTCAATCTTAAATAGATACAACCCTGAAGAGTGGACACCCCTGGTTCTATAGGTCAGAGGTGTCATGACGGACAGATATAGGCATAGAGAGAGTGACTATCTACAGAGAAATGGCCACAGAGAAATACAAAAACAGAAAATACAAGTATTTTACATTGATTTCACCCCGTCAGTGTAACCATCCCTTCCACTTATTGCTTTTGAAGACAACAAATAAAAAGTATAATAAATTAAGGAGGTTATATAACAACTAATTGATCAACAAAAAAATAAAAACATTTGAAAATAGAGACCAAATAATACAACAACAATAATTATAATAGCATTATATTAATTACATTAAAGGGTAGATGATTGTCTCTAAGTATAATAAACGCTAAGTAGTCATGGGACAGTGTCTCTTGAGCCCCGAGTACGCGAGTCCCTGAAGACCTGGTGCGAACAGGAAGTCACTCCTGAACCAGGTAGATAATTACGAATTTACAGCGGTTGCTCCTGGCAATGAAGTCTTTGAGTCTTAACTCTGTGTCTTTTGGGGTTAAACGTCACTTAAGCGTGATCCTCCGACTCCTGCTTGACGGTGACGTTGGCAGGAAGCGGCAGGACGGGGCTGCTGTGCCTCATCTTGATCACCGACGTCTCATTCGGGGAATCGTACGCACCGTAACCGGCAGAAAGAAGGTCGTTGGCGCCGCCCTTGTGGTGGGGATGGAAGTGAGAGGACTTGAGGTCGCTCTCCCTCCACAGAATCCCCAAAATCTGCTTCTCCAAAATGGCCTCGACCTCCGCGCCGCCCTGGAGCTGCTCCAGCTGTTCGGCGTGCTCGCTGACGTCGAAGCGCTCGATCTCCTCGTTGGCGCGCTGTACCTCCTCCGGGTCGCCCTGATTGGACGCCGTGGGGCAGTAGCCCTTCAGGTGAAGCCTCAGACTGCACAGGTGGATGTAGTGGCGTTGGCAGTGGGAGCATTTGTGCGGGCGCTCGCGGGAGTGCAGGCGCTTGTGCAGCTTGAGGTGGACGAACTGGGTGAACTTTGCCGGGCAGAGCTTGCAGTGGTACGGCTTCTCCCCCGAGTGCAGACGCAGGTGAGTCTTCAGGTTGCTGGTGCTGCTGAAGCGCTTGTGACAAACCTGGAAGAAGAAAAGAGACAAATGTCAACACCTTGTAGCAACAAGCAGAGGTGGGAAGTAGTGGAGTACAAATACTTCGTTACTTCATTTTTCTGGTATCAGTACTTTACTCCACAACTTATTTTTCTGACGACTTTTGACTTTGACTTCTTACATGTTGAACACAAATACCTGTACTTTCTACTTGTTACATGTTGAACACAAATACCTGTACTTTCTACTTGTTACATGTTGAACACAAATACCTGTACTTTCTACTTCTTACATTTTGAACCCAAATACCTGTACTTTCTACTTCTTACATGTTGAACCCAAATACCTGTACTTTCTACTTCTTACATTTTCCAAACAGGCTGGTTCCTTTAGTTTGAATGTGTGTTTGGTGGCGTGATCATTATTATTTAGAGTCATTGCGTGCCTATTGATTTGAACGCGATCCGTGTATCCATCATTTCCTGGTCTTCTCTAAAGAAGAGGGACCAATGAAAACGTTGTCATGTTGCCGTTGTTCAGCATGGAAACATTCATTAGCTAACAATGACATTATTGTTCTATTAATATAAAGGGAGGTCAGGTACTCTTTAAAACAGCTGCTAGTTATGGGTACTTTTTACTTAAGTACATTTCAAAGTCCTCTTTACTTTTACTTGAGAAGTTTAGTCAGTACTTCTACTTTTACCAGAGTATTTTTAAACACGAGTATCTGTACTTCTACTTGAGTAAAGTAGATCACATCGTGCAATTAACTCATCTGTCTGGTAAATAAGCCGATTGAAGTTGCATCGTTTCTCACCTGGCATTCGTGTGGCTTCTCCCCGGTGTGGACGAGGAAGTGTTTCTGCAGGTGAGCCAGCTGGGTGAAGCCTTTGTTGCAGGTCTGACATTTGAAGGGTCTCTCGCCACTGTGGACACGAAGATGAACCTGAAGAGGAAATAAAAAGATTTGCTTAGACATTTGGGTATTGTAAATATCACAGAAGACATGTATATCTTGAGGAGAGCTTGCTCAGTGTGTAATGTGTTTCCTATAAAAGCCAATCAAATAACTGTAGCGTTGCTAGACTCACCTTGAGGTTCGACAGTTGTCCGAAGGTCTTGCTGCACACGTTGCACTCGTACTTGATTTTCCCGTTCTGCTTCTTCAGTGGGTACGGCAGCGCCTTGTATCCCGCCGACCCGGGGCCACGCTTCATTTTGGACAGGTTCATGGCCTCCTCGTCATCGCTCGAGTTGCACAGCATGGCAGAGGTAGGCTTGGTGGGCAGCCGCTCGCTGGGAGGGGATGTGCCCGCTGTCGGGGAGCCTCTGGAGGAGGCGGGTCCATGTGGGTGTCCGTGATAATGGTGGTGAAGCCCCCGTTTGTCCTTCAGATAGGCGGCAGCTGAGAAGGCACTGCTGGGCCTGGGGAGGAGGAACTCCCTGTGGGCCGACATGGAGGACGGGTGGACACGATCGGGCATCAAGAAGCGCCTTCCTGCTGCGTCGGCGGGCAGGAGGGGCACGTGAGGGGGCATGTAGAGGGGGTACATCCTGGGGAAGATACCTCCAACGGTAGGGACGCCTCCGCCTGGAAGAGGGTAGTGATGGGGAAGGAGGTAGCGTGAGTACGAGGCTCCTGGAGGGTAGAAGGATGAAGATAAAGGGGTTGGTGGTGGGGAGTAACCGGGGTAAGAACTGAGTCCAGTGGGGTAGAAAGACCCTGTTGCCGGACCCGAGGGGCTTCCCTGAGGACTGCTGTCTGGGCTGCTCCTCGCCGACGGGCTGGGCGTCGCCGAGGACTGATTTCCTGGCGACCGGGTAGCGGGGTAACCGTGTTTGTGTCCGAGGAAATCTTCGGGGATGTGAGGGTGGGGCCTGAGACCCGGGTAGAGAGCTCGAGGGTACAGGGGGCGCTCGGGGCTGTCGGCGCAGCGCGGGCGGGTGGGAAGAGGCCGGCTCGGCTCCCTTTTGATCGGCGAGGAAGAAGAGGAGGAAGAGGATGTGCAGTTGGTGCCTCGGAGGATGGAGAGCACGCTGTGTTCCCTCTTGGGTTGGGCGGGGGTTACTGCCGCGGGGGACGGGCTGGAGGCGTCGACCAAGCGCTCCTCACTGCTCACCTGCTGCTGCTTCACCTCCAGGAGGGACTGCTCTGGAGAGACAAGAGGAAGATACAAGGTCAGTGGAAGTTTCACCAGATCAAGAAACAATAGTCTTATTGTTTTCCATTTAAAGAAGTAATCATTACTTTTTATTTCACAACACACAAAATGAAATTCTTTCCAAAAAAGTCTGCAGAGATTAAAAAATGTGTGAGTCAGCTTGTCCAGTAATTCATTTTAGATTCTGTTAAAATTGTGTTGAACTATTTATTTAGTTTCTTGCATTTGACTTGCACAATTGTGTCTCTTGTACTGACTTATTTATATTTCTTGTTGCACTAGTTCATGTCTCTTCATGTCTTGTGTATTTTTTATGTTGCATTTTCGCAGGTGAGATTTAGGATGTTCCTTGCCAAATCTACGCGGTAGTGCATGTGACAGTAAGCCTTTGAGTCCCTGAGTGTGCCACAGGGTTAAGGAACACCATAAGTAACTCTGCGGGCCAATTAAGGTGACGGATTTGACGAACGATCATGGGGGGCCAGGAGGGAGGGGGGGGGGGGGTCAAAAGACAGGAAGTGATGCGTGACAGCTGCCTCTGGGCATTGTGTGTGTGTTTATATCTCAGTGTGTGTGCCTATAAAATCAAGATAGAATCAAAATGGTGGCAGACAGACAGGGCTGATGGAACGTTTCCTGCTAAAGATATCCTCCGAAAAAAAAGGCTTGGCCTCCACCTGCCCTCCACACACTCTCACACTACACACACACACCAACTCATCCACACCATGTCACAAGATACACACAGAGGCGCCTGTAGACAAAGGCCTCTGTCTGATTTGTTGACTCTTACTCTCTTGACTCACTTTTAGAACTGATGTGATCCAACTTGGAACCAAGTACGTTGAAAACCACTTCTTCCAAACCACAATCAAAGCATTAATGATTAGCTTGCATTGCAAAGGAGCAGCCACTGTTTGAATACAAATGGGCAGCTCACACACACACACACACGCACACACACACACACACACGCACACACACACACACACTTTTGATCAAGCTCCCACTCTCCTGATTTTTGTGGCCGTTTGCTTTTGTTTCCAGGTCGAAGGTTAGATTAGAGAGCTTCCTCCTCACTCACTCACACCTACTGTCTCCCCTGCATGATGAAAGAGTGGATTAGGAGCTCTCTCTCTCACACACTTACACACACACACACACACTAAAAGCCCTCACTAGTCAGCTAGCTGCACATCTCGGCTGTTAAACGGCTGCAGACCCGGCCCTTAAAAAGCCGCTGTCTATTATCTATAAGCTCATTTACTGCCCATTCAACTTTTTACCACAGGGTCACCCAGAGTGTGTGTGTGTGTGTGTGTGTGTGTGTGTGTGTGTGTGTGAGTGTGTGTGTGAGAGATGGAGTTAATCCTGAGTGCCAGCACTGATGAAATTAGTTTGACTCCCCCTGATTCACACACACGCACTCAGTCAGTGACCCTTGCATCAGTAGTATAGCGGCAGTGTAAACACTGAGGTTATCAGTTAGCCTTCCTCCTCCTCCTCCTCCCCCCTCTTTCTCCTTTTTTAGAATACAAACAGGGCGGCCATCTTGGAGATATCAATCTGTCAACACGGCCCTTCTGCCAGGAAGTTCAAGTAGTCAACAGAAGGGGTGGGAGGCGCACATCTACCTCCATTACTCCCTCCTCCACCTTCTCTTTTAAAATATATCAAGGCAAATGGCACACACACACACACACACACACACACACACACACACACACACACACACACACACACACACACACACACACACACACACACACACACACACACACACACACACACACACACACACACACACACACACACACACACACACACACACACACACACACACACACACACACACACACACACACACACACACACACACACACACCACACACACCACAACACACACCACACACCACACACACACACCACACACACCACACACACACACACACACACACACACACACACACACGATGAAAAGACATGGGTGTGAATGTGTTGGCATGCCAAGCTTATGACTGTGTGTGTGTGAGAGTGTTTTTATCGAGAGCGTCTTTGAACACACACACACACACACACACACACACATACACACATACATACGCGGCTGACAGGTGCTCTCAAGTGCTAACAGTTGAAGAATGCTAAACGACGGCGACAAAAAGAGAGAGAGAGAAGAAGAGAGGAGAAAGTGAGGGAGTGAGACAACCCAAGTCATTTTGCTCACACACACACACACACACACACACACACACACACACACACACGTCTGGTTTGGCTATGACTGCACTGGAAAGAGCAACAACCAGTGAGAAAAACATGAAACAGCAGACGTGACTTTGCTCATCCGGCAAAAAAAAAAACATTTTGAAAATAAATGAGTATTTAAAATGAATTTGAATGATTTTATTTTTTTATATGTAATCTATGCTATTTTAAAATCACTAAGAAAGCTGGATAGCCTGACTATAAGAGTGACCTTCTCTTCTTCTACCTTTTGCCCTTATGGCTTGGTTTCTGTTTGGCGTTACTCAGTCAGAACGTTTGAGCTTTCATCTTGTTTTTACTCAGCCCGTCAGATTATTTCGGACTTTCTGTGCGGCTAAAACTCCAGTCCAACGTTCAAAAGCCCTACTTTATTTAGCTCCGTAAATCCGGTAACTTAAAGGAGCTCTTTAGATGAACAAAGGGAAGTGTTTCTGCTGCAGGTGAACGTTCAAGTCAGTGGCAGGTCAACAGGAGCCAGTGGGGCTAAATGACAGAGGCAGCTAATTAAAGGCAACATATCGTATACTGTACTGACTTTGGAGAGGGGGAGAGGATGGGGGTTTGGTGAGGTAGGGGGGGGGAGTTTGAGGCTATACCTCCTGCCTCTCTCCCCCAGGTCATGCGCATTTTTCCCTGGGCAGTGGAGTCGCTGAGGCTGGGTCTTTGGATCCCCTTCCACCTTTACACTGCCATTAGCCTGCAGTCACACCTGGAAGCCCCTGAGCCCCTCTCTTTGTTTCCCGCTCAGCTCTCCCTCCCTTTGATCCACAGCTGAAGTGCAGTTGGTCCGCTGTGTCATGTGACTTCACTCCTGCATGCACACATCTGTGACCCTTTGCACAGAAAAGCTCATTCTCATCTATAATAATGAGTCTTTAAGGGGGACTTTGCAATATATGTCCAGGGTTAACAGATGATGAGCCTATTGGTTCATATAGAGAACAATGTTTATAAATGTGCAATGTCCCCGTGTTAAATAAACGAATTAATCAATATATATCTAATAAGTTATGCACATTAGTCTGTATATTTAGCTTGTTGTTTATTTAATGCTGCCTCACAGCTCGTCCACTTTCAATTTTGCATGTATTTTTATTATATAAGTATTGCTTATTACTTTATCTTATTAATTTATAATATAACATTTCATTTGTAAATTGTAAATTGTCGTGTTGTTTAAAAAAATGCACCATTATAAACCAAAGCTAATTCATTCTGATTCTGCCAAACAAATCAAATACATTTAAAAAGAATTGTCATTTCTGATGTTATTTTAAAATGTGTACATTTTGGTTTTTGGTTAATATTAGCAGCAGGGGTTCATTTTGTTGATTTGAAAGTTAACATAAGAAAAGCAAAAGTATTTTCGATGAGTAAAGGAGAAATCTGGCGCTTACTTTTAGACCTTTTTCCTCATTAAAAGGTCACACACAGACAGTCATGCAAACACACTCACACACACTCTCTGCTCCTTTTATTGAGGTTGAGCAAGGCTGTGTGTGTGAGTGTGAGCTTTCATGTTAAAAGCGGGGTCTTTAAGTGTGTAAGACTGTGGCATTAGGGGCCATATCCCCCTGTCTGTGTAATTACACTGTCACTGACACACACACACACACACACACACACACACACACACACACACACACACACACAAATACTACGATGGCACTGACAGAGATGAAAGGTTGTTGATCTCGTAGTGTGTGTGTGTGTGTGTGTGTGTGTGTGTGTGTGTGTGTGTGTGTGTGTGTGTGTGTGTGAGATAATAACAGGCTAACATGCAGAGAGGAAGGAGACACGGCTACACTCTAAAACACTGTTAGGCTTTAAGAGCGGCGACAGGACACACTCAAGACACACACACACACCGACACATCCACACACACACACCTGCATTGTCTATTGATTTTATGTTATTTATTAAACCAGGTCAGAGCAATAATAAAAATTCCCCGTCCTTTCTTTCAAAATGAAAGTCTGATTATTTCCCTCTTTTTTTCTTCTTTAAGAGACGGAATAGACACTCACTTAGTTTCTGCATCATCAGCTCCCCGGACGGCGGGTAGTGGAGGCGCCGGGCGAAGTCGTGGCAGTACCAGACGAGCAGCTCGGTGCCGGGGGGGACGGGCTTCACGGTGTAGAAGTAGATCTCCATCCCGTTCTGACAGGCGGCGATGTTCTGCTCCGCCGCTGAGTGGGCCGGGTTCACGTAGCGCATCCAGTTAGAGCGGCTCTCGTCCAGCCCGTCCACGAAGTGGTGGAACTCCTGGTCCTCGTAGATCTGGAGCGAGAGAGGGAAGAGGTGTGAGTTTAAGGAAAATCATTATCAAACGACTTTGCTGACACACTGACTTAAGGACTAAATGAAGTACCATGTAATGACAGTCGCAACAAAATGGAGAAAGTGAACTGAACTCCACAACCTTCCTGCCTCAGACGGACAGTGGGGTGATCCTTTTTTATATTACATAGAAAGGAAGAACCAACTCTTTTAACCTCTTTCTGTGTGTGTGTGTGTGTGTGTGTGTGTGGGTGTGGGTGTGTGTGAGAAAGTGAGATATGAGCATGAATGGAACACCTTTCTGATTCAGTGCTTGTGGTTGGAAGCATGGTCATTCTTTCTCTTCATGCACAGATGTGTGTACTCTCACTCAGAATTTACCGGTATGATGGAGAGTATCGAACAGTGCGCGCGTGTGTGTGTGTGTGTGTGTGTGTGTGTGTGTGTGTTTGGACTTACAGGAACCACACTGTGACATGTTATTTGTGCGTATGTGACGTCACATCCCCATCTCTCTGTCTCAACAACACAGAAAAAACAGCGAGCCCCGTTTCCTGTTCCACTGAGTGAAGACGTGTGTGACGTCACAGGAAGGGGACCCTCCTGCTTCTGAGGAAGTGTGTGTGTGTTTTTCTGTTTGAGGACTCACCCTCCAAAAGTACTTCCGGTTGGCGTCTTTGGGCACGCTGTCGGCCGTGTATATCTCGCCCACCAGGGGTCCGAAGCGAGTTCCTTTGGGGATGTACTCCCTGCTGCACACACCGACAACCTGCACAGAAACACACACAGGTTACACAAGAGATCGAAGGGGTGTTTGAAGTGTGTGATGTGTGCAGCCTTTAAAGTGTCTGGTGAATGGGTAAAGTCAAATGTACATGCTTTTAATGACAGAATGATAGATCGTTATGAACTGCTCATGGAAATATGATGCTCTCTTTAAGATAACACACATGAACAATAATGTGTTTTACTGTAGTTACGGAGTGTGTGTTTCATGCTGTTGTGCACATCCATCAGTGATATGTGTCATTAAGTCTAATTAAGTCTTATTATACGTTCAACCAGCCGTCAACTCACACGATGATTAATGGACCCACTTCATACTTCATTTCATTCAGAGTGTGTGTGTGTGTGTGTGTGTGTGAGTGTGTGGTTGGAGGAAAAACTGTAAAAGCTCTTCTCTCTTTCTCTCGTCACACCTCCACTCGTCGCCACATCAAACTAAAACTGCTGCTACTTCAGAAGCTTCAAATAACATCCAAATACTCAAAAAGAAAAAAGTGTTCTCCATTATTTATTTTCTAATTCAATCAAAGAACTAAAAAAGGGAGGATGAGTGAGAGAAGAGAGAGGGATTATGTGGCGACTAGACGCTAGGCTCCAGTCGTGAATGGTGGAGAAACACACACACACATTTTATTCATGCATGGCGCACACAAACAGGCGTCTTTTCCAAACCCCTGGTGACTTGGGAAATCCCCCTTTCTCTCCCCCCTCTCCAGACATGAAGTGTTTTTGACTTATTAACAGACTTTTACAATGCTTCTTCCTTTGACCCAAATCTTCTTTGATCAAACTCCCATCCTCAGCCTTTCCCTTCTTCCTCTCCGGGTCCAGATAAATAGTAGCTGATAGCATATCAGCGTCTCTCTTTCCCTGCTTCTTTCCTCAGTTTCCTGCAGCAGCAGATAAGCCCCTGATGAGAAAATCTATGCGATCACGCCGCTTGCAAACAAACTCAAAAAGTGTGAAAATTGCCTCAACCCCATTGACCTGCAGTCTGAAAAACAACGCTTAAATCCACCGTAACATCAGGGGATTTACTCAAAGTACTTAAAATGTGTTTAATATACATACATTATAGTTTTTACGGTTCATTTGAATGTGTTTGGTCCGATTCGTCTTGTGATTCTTAGTTTTATAATTAAAGCTGCTGATTTAATGCTTATGTTTCAACTTTCAAAAGCTGAACCCCTTCTTGTTTTTCACTTGTTCATTTTACCAGAGAGACCTTTCTGTCCTGTTATCACACCTCAGTTTCAACCTTTGACGCGTTGACATTTTGACTTTTTAACCTCCAGTTGAATCGATGGCTAGAACTTTATCCGTGAAGCTTTGTGAAAAAAGTCACAAGGTTGCTGTTTGTTTAGTTGAGACATACTTACAGAGGAAATGGGTCTTGCAAATCAGATCTTTTTTTTTCTGCCTGGTAACAAAAACTGGGATTTCTCACCACAAGTCATCTGTGATCTTACAAGCTATTGTTTCTGGCTTCCAAAATGTGTCCAATTTGCCATCAAATCTCCAGGTTTTAAGCAAACAGCTTCCTTTTTAAATACAAAAACCTTAAAGGCCAATACATATTTAACTTATGAAAATCTGAGGGGTCAAAATTGACATTAAAACTTCATAAAATGTCACTAAGGGGCAAAAACAAATCTGCCGTTTGGCGTGATTTAAAAAAAAATGCGCCCCCTGTCTGCAGGCACAGGAACTGCAGCCGTCTGACATGACATGTAATGCATGAGATTTTTTCTGTGCGTTTTTGCTTCAGGCGTTTCACTCTCACACAGATTCCTGTCTGTAATGTGTGTCGGTGGAATTTTATGGCGAGACAAGACCCCCTCTTCATTACATGACCGACAGCTGACTCACGAGTGTGTGCAGATGGTGTGAGAATAATGGAGACGGGAGAGAAAGTTTCTGTGTGTGCACTGAAAAAACTGAAGCATTGACTTTAATGAAATGTATTATGTCAACAGATTACACATCACAGTTTTAGGTTAGTTGAAAGTAATAATCTTAAGTATAAATAGGTTCAACTTAATATTATTGCTTTCAACTAACATAATACAGTGATGTGATTTTTTTTACATAAAACATTTCATTAAAGTCAATGCTTAAGTTTTTTCTGTGTGTTTGTGTGTGTGTGTGTGTGTGTGTGTGTGTGTGTGTGTGTGTGTGTGAGTGTGTGTGTGTTTCTGACTGACCTCCTTGCTGTCGGCCGGGTGTTTGAAGGCGAGGTTTCGGGGCAGCGAGGCCTCCGCTCTCGTCGTCGTCATGGCGTCGCCGTCCGTATCCTTGACCATGTACGTGCACTTCCCCTCAAACTCGGCCTCCGTCCACCGGGTCATGTCTGCGTCGTCCATCTCCGTCTCCATCTCCATGTCCACGTCTGTGTCGGCCATCGTCTCTGAGCCGGAGCTGGCGGCGGTGGTGTTGGTGGTCGCTGTGGCAGCCATCTTGGCTCCGTGGTGTGCTTCTTCCTGCTCCATGGTGTGCGCCCCCTCACTGGTCAACATGGCCGAGCTATGAGAGGTCGCCTGTTGAGAGACAAAGAGAGAGAGACATATTAGATATTTTAATTCATTTTTTTTCTTGCGTTCTTTTCATTTAGAACCGTAAGGCGCTGATAGGGAGAGCCCTCATTTTAATGCAGAGGTATAATAAGTGCAGACACAATTAAATAACAGCTAGTGGTCATTTTTCTAATGAAAACTCAACAAATCATGACTTTTTTAAATTATTTTTTTACGGGTTTTCTTGTAATTCAACAGGGAAATAGTAATAATACAAAATGGGTATATTAAATGAAAGTGAACCACATTTTAAAATAACTATAAGAAAAGGAGAGACACACCACACACACACACACACACACACACACACACACACACACACCACACACACACACACACACACACACACACACACACACACACACACACACACACAACACACACACACCACACACACACACACACACACACACACACACACACACACACACACACACACACACACACACACACACACACACACACACACACACACACACACACACACACACACACCACACACACACACACACACACACACACACACACACACACACACACACACACACACACACACACACACACACACACACACACACACACACACACACACACACACACACACACACACACACAAAGCTGTTTGTCTTGTCAACTATTTACAGAAAACTAATTTGGGGAATCGTCGAACCCAAAACATCAAATATATATATTCTTTCTTTTCTCCCAATTTAATGAAGACATATTATGCGTCCATGTTTCCCATTTCCAACATGAATTCAACTGATTGATTTCTCCTTGATCTTTCTTCTAAAAGCCTCGGTGTAAGATTTAAGATGAGTCAGACGGAGACACTTTGATCAAAGCGGAACAAAGAGGAACTCAACACGTGTCTCGTATAAAGTGACAAAAAACCTTCCTCTTTTTAAGAATTTAAAGTCAAACGGACGTATTTAATAAGTTATAAACCAAGACATCCATTCCTCATGAAATAATAACAACCAAAGAGCAACAGCTGGTGAAAATATTGCAATTAATCCATGTGTTCTGCTTTGTTAACTTACTTCTCAATAATTCTTATCTTATACCTTTAATATGTACTTCAGTTTTTATTGTATTAATGTGTGCGTACCTTTATTTAATATATTGTATATTTTCTATTTTGGCTTTTATCTGCCGAACAAATAAAATATGGGACAAATAAAGAATAACTTAATATGAATTCAAAGTTTTGCTTCTATGTGTTTTTCAAGACTCTTAACTTTTCTATATTTCCTTTGCAGTCGTTTTCTGTGTGTTTTTCACAGCTTTTTCTGCAGGAATTGTGCATAAATAATGAGTTGTTGTGGCAGAAGATTATTCAGATTACGGATCTTAAACTCTCCCCCGTGTCCTCCCTCTGTCTCCCCCCCTGCTCTCCTCTCTTCCTGGGGTTGAAGCTGGAGGAAGGAAACGCTGTCTGTGTCGGAATGAAGCTAAAATTGGAAGCAGGGTGGCACTGCAGCGGAACCGGCAAATCATCCCGACTCCCAGCATGTGTGTGTGTGTGTGTGTGTGTGTGTGTGTGTGTGTGTGTGTGTGTGTGTGTGTGTGGGTAATGGACAGGGGGGGCCGATGAGGAAAAGGGAGCGCCAAATCTTTTCCATTTGGGGGGCCACAGCAGCACAAACAAAACTTCAAACGTGATCCCACCCAAGACACACACACACACACACACACACACACACACACAGATATCCACTCAGGGAAAACATGCTTCTCATCCCACGCAGGCGAGTGGAAAAGCATCAGATCTTTTCAGTGACCACACTTAAGTCTGTGAATGTTTCTGAAGCCGCTAGAAAGACAATTATTTTACATCCAACTAAAAAAACTGAAACGTTGACTTTAATGACCTGTATTAGGTTAGTTGAAAGCAATACTATTCAGTTTAAATACAAAATATTAGGTTCAACTTAACATTATTGCTTCCAACTAACTTAATATGTGATATGAGTTGAATTAATACATTTAATTAAAGTAAACGTTTCAGTATTTTCAGTGTGAAGTCACAGCTAAAGCCACTTCTGCAGCGAGAAAAGACACAAAGAGAGGAACTAAAGTCACCTCAAATAATTAAAAAAATTACATTTTCACATTGTAAATCCTTTAAGGGAACCCACTGGCACACACACTAATAAGTCAGGAGCCTCATCATGTCTTCATATTTACTGAAATGCAGTTTTTGCGACAGACTTTCCTGTTCGAACTTGCAAGAAAAACTCTTAAAAAGGATTAAAAACCCTCCAAAACATGAAAATCCTTAATAAAAAGTTGAGCTTCTTTGCTTTAAACACAGTCTGCATTTACTTTAACACTAAAAGTCATCAAAGCAAATCATGAAAATGTATTTAAATCCAACAAAAGTAATTTTTTAAAGTCTAAAACTAGGAAATGTACAGCAATAAAATGTCATTTCACCCATAACAGCATCTGCAACAACACTTTCTGCTCTGTTTGCCTTTTAAATAACGCATTTTTCTTTTAAAAACTGACCAGAAATGGAAATGTTTCTCAATATTTCAGTAGATTCCTCTTTGCATTAACAGCTGCAACAACGAGAACTAATAGTGAAACCAAAAAACCAAGACAAATGTCACCTCTCACACATTGAGACCAACCGAAAACACAGAAGCTGCACAGTCAGAGGAATCTTTAAATGATGATGTGCTCATTTAATAAAGTCAAGATGAAACTGTGTGAGCTGTTCAACCAGAGCAGCAAAGACACGTTTTCAGTCAAATTCTCAGTGATGAGGACACTTTTCTGACAATGTCCAACTTTTGAATCCTGCTTGCTTCATTAAAAAACAAATAAGAACTCCTTAAAGTGTGCAACAAAGCCCATCATTCAACATGTAGGTGCTACAGAAACATCTTCCAAAAGGAAAACACGTCCAAACAGAAGTCCAAAGAAAATCAAAATACATTTTAAAAAGTGCAGAAAAATCACCAGAATCTCCTCAATAGCAGCTTTTAAATTAAATGTAAATATGGAAAGTCAGAAATAAAAACCTCTTTGAATTTCCAGTCAGAAAAAAAAGCACCAAAAAGAGAGAAATCTCATTTCAAACACGTCAAAGTATGGATTGAAGAAGTCAAAACAAGTCTTGATTTTACTTACTGGTGTTTGCTTCTCAATATCCCCAAAAAATAACTCCGTTTTTACATTTAAAATAACAAAAAAACAACAGAAAAGAATGTCAAATCTTTTTTTTTTTATATAAAACTAAGTAGTCCTTAAAAAGTGTTCCCTTCCTCTCCGTGTGCTCCGTACTCACCGTGTAACTTTGGTCCCATCCACACATAGGGACGACCGGTCAGATATTCTGTGCGCGCGTGTGTGCGTGTGTGTGTGTGTGTAGGACAGGTGCAGTTCTCCCCTTATGTCCGTCCCGATCCGAGCGCTGATACTCCACCGGTGTGTGTCAAAGTGTGTGTGTGTTATGAGTGTGTGTGATCCACTCGGTGTCCTGTGTTCAAATGCCTTACAATGCCGACATCCCTCTGACTAAGCTGGAGAGAGGGCCGGCTCTCTCGCGACAGGCCACGCCCCCCCGTGCTTACCCCTCCTCCTGGCCCCGCCCACGACACACACAGAAACACACACTTTTCTTCAGAAGCAGCAGGAGCTTTCACCTTAGGCCATGACATACACGTACACACACACACACACACACACACACACACACAACTTTTTATGCATGAAAATAAAGTTATCTTACAATGATAATGCTGTGTGTGTGTGCTCAAATGTGTGTGTGTGTGTGTGTGTGTGTGTGTGTGTGTGTGTGTGAGAGGGGAAATGTCTGTTAGCAGCCTGAAAGAGGTAAACAACGTGTGTGTGTGTGCGTGTGCGTGTGCGTGTTGAGGGGGGAGCATTGAGTCACTGTCACAGGATGTCCCTCTCTTCCCCAGGAAAACACACACACACACACACACACACACACACACACACACACACACACACACACACACACACACACACACTGCCTCTAGGGGGCAGGACTGGTCTGCCCTTGTTTCCTTCACTTGAAGTGACTCTCTTTTCTTATTGTCTCTGTCCCTCACCCTCACTTTGTCTCTCTTTCTTTTACTTTCTCTATCTTTAAAGAGACTTTCGATCAAGTTTCTAAATGAAATGTCAGTTATTTTCCTTGTCATACGACACGTTGATACATACACATGTGTTATTAAAAACACAGAGGAGAAAGCAAAAAGGAACAACACTAAAAATACGATTAGAAGTTCATTAAAAAAGTCGTATTCTCTTCATTTTCAGGTTCATAGTGTGTCTCTTCTGTGACATGTCTCCATGCTTTAATGCTAGCTAGCGCTTGCCAATAGAAGCACACGTGTTAGTGATGTCATTATGTTACAGAAGTAAAGAGGGAACTTTGGGATTTTAGCCTTTGCAGACCATTGACATGCAACCTGTATAACACACTACAGGAAAGGGGAAGCCCAGAATAGCGCCTCTTGAAGTCTTGCAAAATGATCCAAGATGGATGTATTTCTCAGCATGCAAACTCATTAATGGTTCCACCAATTATGTTTCTCAGCCATTTCTTCTTTTGTTATATATCCTCAAAGATTGTTTTATTGTCATATATCCGGTAGCTACATGTTGTCCCTTAAGAAAAATACATACAATGGTGCAAGTGACACAATGGTGCAAGTGACACAATGGTGCAAGTGACACAATGGTGCAAGTGACATGCAGGAATAAGTCAAATATGTCAAATAGAATAGGATTGTAAAATATCAGGCAGTGCAAAAACATGGGAGATGTTTAGTCACTTCCTTCGACTGCCAAGACTTCTGCTGGACATTTATAATCGAATCAAAGCACTGTGCATGGACGAGGATTAAAAATAGGAGGAAGGAAATCCCCCTTTTCTCCCGACACTGCAAGAAGAAAACCCTTTATGCACTGATCTGATATGAGATCCCTCTTCACTTCAAACTGGATCGTTCCCAGTGTTTCCTGGGTCACTAAACGTGTGTTCCTCATCTTGCTTCTTAAAGAAATGATGATAGAACGATATCTTTCTCACAGTTCTTTAAATGATCAGAGTTACATGTAGGGTCTCTTTTCTGTGTATTTAACATGAGACCCAGACTCAGGACTTGTTTAAGGGTTGCAGACGTTTTACTGAGTCTGCAATTTGAAGATTTCTGTTGTGATTATTGTGTAAAAATGACTTTTATTCAATTATTATTCTCATTATTGAGACTAACATGTAACATTGATGTGAAATGTTCTCTGAAAGTAGCTTTTTTGGTCACTTTCTGCCTGTTTCAACGATCATGAAATGATTCAGGATATCATATGTGAAAAAACAATATGTTTAAACCGATTGAATGTCGCATGCATCAAACAGCTCTCACTCTTACTGTTATAACAAAAGCTCCCTCGCTCACTAACACTGGAAATTCCCATCTAATTGTCCCCCGACTCCCAATTTACCTCCCACTCACTGCCCCCCCCCCCCCCCCCCCCCCCCCCCCCCCGTTCCTCCCTTTGATTTACCCACTGTATTTACAAAATCATTTTCCACACTGACCTCTCTTTCCAGCTCTTTCCATCACTTTTCTCCCTCTATTCATTCTCTTGATGCCCCCCCTACAAATTAAATCAATCCAGAAAAACAGGCACTGTTCCTCTTTTAGCGTTGACGTCTATTGGCACGAAAAAGGCACACAAAAAATCATACAAATGTGGATTGGAAGAATAATGCTGAAATGAAAGATAACAAAAAAGAAAATAGCAGTGTGACGGAAAATCAACACTAAAAATGTAATTATTATGTTAAAAAAATGGAAGAAAGGTTAGGTCAGTAAAGGTTGACATGACAGCTGTTCCTAATATATATTTAAAATCGATTGTAATAGTGTTTCAAATACATTGGAGTTAAAAGCTGGTTCAAATAAGACATCTTAAGCAGATAAACAATATATATATTGTTAAATATATCGTGTTTTTATTCATGCAAATTACTTTTCTCTCTCGGAAAAAGCGATCCAGTTTCAGTGGTTTGTGTCCAATCAGCTGGTATTCATTAAAAAGATGATACATGTAGTTCTCCAAGACATTAACAATGTGGACGGTCACACTGTTCCTGACTCAACTTAAAAAAAGGAGACTTGGATGAAACAGGTACGGTTCCATTTTGGGAGGAAAGTAGCATTTTAAAGCATATATTCCTATTGGGTTACAACGGTGTCAAAGTGACAGAGACTCAATCTGGGCATGATACCCCGAGCAGAGCGACAGTCATCAGTCTCGGCCTCGAGAGAAATGAGTCTCCGTCTGATTGTGAGTGTGTTTCTCTTTTCCTCTAATGAAGAACGATGATCAGGAAAAGAAAACAAGCAACAGGAAGAAGAGAAGAAGAAGAGAGAGAGACACGGGACCTCCCTCTCTCTCGCTGTCTGGTGACAGAGGGTCTGACCACATCACTCGCTGCCTACTGCTTCCTGCCAACAGACGACCCCGACACACACACACGCACACAACACCACACACCACACACACACACACACACACACACACACACACCACACACACACACACACACACACACACACACACACACACACACACACACACCCACACACACACACACACACACACACACACAGATCTGTGCCACAGCTGTCGGACATGTTGATGCTTTGCAACCGAGCAAGTCCTCCCTCGGCAAAACAACCGGAGAGAGACGGGGAGATAAAAAAGGAAGCGCTGTCTCTTTTTAAAAACATTGGCCAATGGGCCTCGGATCACACACACACACACACACACACACACACACACACACACACACACACACACACACACACACACACACACACACACACACACACACACACACACACACATGCACGCATAAATTACAGTACATCATGTGCAACTATTTTGCATGGATAAGTATATTTCAGGGGGAATTTAATGCTAAGCGGTGACGGGGCTTTCAAGTTGGCTTGTGTTTTCTATTTCGCTGATTAGTCTCCGTATGAATGACCAGCTTTTCATATATTCTACATTTAACTATTAAAGCCTGTTGACTGGACTTGCAGCTAAACCCCTCTCAGCTGTGCAATTAAGCGTTCATATCTTTATAAACATTAATACACAGCTTCATGTATTGTATATACACATATGTATTGTTGGTATATATCTTACAATGTGCACATTTTTACTTAAACATCTTCTACCAATATACTTAAGTTATGTGACTTCTCATGTTTACATAAATATGTTACAATTATTTCTCCTTACTTTAAAGGTAGGGTAGGTAAGAATGGAGAAACCAGCTGGAGTGCGCTAGAATTTGAAAATACACAGCCGAAAAAAATCTGCCCCTTCCTTCAGACTTCCTTACAGAGCCTCTCCTCCAACACACACGAACGCGCACATGACCAATGAGGGCACGAGATAAGTTTGTGCACGAGAAGGAAGGCTGACAGGCAGGTAGGCCATCCAGTTATTTTAGCCGGGCCGGCTCAGATGATTGGTCGTGCTTTTTACAGTATTACGGCTTCCACAGATGAAGTTTTTTTATGTATTTATTGTCAAAGCATTTAATATATTCATTGCTATCGGGATGTTAAGAGCATTCCATGGAATATAACAACAAGTGTATCTGAAGTGAATTACCTACCCCACCTTTAAGTAACTAATAAGAAGCTTTTGGGTGTGGGCAGCCTGTTCACATCCTTGCAGCATGGAACTTATTCAAATAATAATAATAAAGGTTATTTTGACTGGCTGAGTCTGCTGCCGTCACGGCGGGTTAAAAGCAGATACATCAGCGCTCTGTGGAGGTTTCCATTTTTGTTGTCAGTTGCCTAGCAAAGGTATTTCCACAGGGTTCAACTCCAGCTCAATTTGAAAGAAAACAATTTGCTAAAATAATAATGTTCAGAGGTAAAGTTCAGTACCATGTGCAGTATGACCAAACTGTGAGAGGTCACTGCTGCTAACTCTTTCCTGAACCCAGTCCCTCTTTTCTGCTGCGCTCTCATTGGATACTCAACATTTGCTTTGGACTTCTCTACAAAAAAAATCCAACATCGTCCTGAAAAGTTCACGGTAAGAACTGTCCAGAATGAACTGTCGACAAGCATGTCTCAAACATTTCTCCTAGACACGACAATTGCACTATTCACCCTGAACTACCTCTGAACTACCCCCAATGTTAAAGGGGCCCTATTCTGCTGATGTTCAGGTTCATATTAGTTCCTCTATGACATGTCTCCAATCTCATGCTTTAATGTTCAGAAGAAGAAGTAAACAAAGTGTTTAATCCCTATGTTCCCTCTGGAGGAACACAGGGATTTTAGCCTCTGCAGACCATTTACATGCACTAAAACCTAAAGAACACACCAGAGAAAAGGGAAAACCCCAAAAAAGCAGAATAAGGCCTCTTTAATATAATTTGACGTGAAGGTCAAGATGCAGTTGAATATTGATTG